TACAAACTCCTTTCCCTTCCCCTCCCCACAACAGACACCCTGCGAGGTGGGTGGGGCTGAGAGAACTCTGACACAAACTGCTCTTTTTCAAGGACAGCTGTGCCAGAGCTTGTGCCAGAGCTTGTGACTGACCCAAGGTCACATCAGCAGGTGCAAGTGGAGGAGTGGGGAATCAAACCCGGTTCTCCCAGATTAGAGTCCACACACTTAACCACTACACCAAACTGGCGTATTGGTGCCAAAGCCTGATGGTACGTTGAGGCTCTGCATAGAATATAATAAATTAAACCAGGTGACAGTGCCTGATCTGTACCCCATACCCCATGCCTAGTGTTGATGAACTACTGGAGGTCATAATTGCTGCCCAGTATATCAGCAGGTTGCCATGGATCTAGTAGGCCAGGCTAAGATGGCTTTTCTCTCCGAAGTAGGACTGTTTGAGTTCCTAGTTCTTCCTTTTGGACTGCAAAATGCTCCAGCAACATTCCAGAGGTTAATCGATAAGTTTTTTCAAAGGGTGAGGGGACTTTGCAATTGCCTACATCAATGATGTGGGGATTTTTAGTAAAAGTTGGTCAGAGCATGTTAAGCACCTGGCAGTCATGTGGCAATGAATTAAAGAGGCCAGTTTAGCAGTCAAAGCCTCAAAATGTCAAATTGCTTTGAAGAAGGGTGACATTCTTAGGCCATTTGATTGGTGATGGGGTGATTAAACCTGAAACAAATAAGGTACAGGACATTAAGGAGTGGCCGACACCCAAAACAAACAAACAAACAAAAAACAGGTAAGAACATTTTTGTGGATGGCTGGATACTACCACCAGCATATTCCATACTATAACTCCATTGCAGCTCCATTGTCTGGGCTGATGAGAAAATCCTTGCCTGACAATGTGTGCTGGACAGAGGAGTGCCAGACCACTTTCCAGAAACTGAAGGGCATTTTCAGTGAGAAACTGGTAACAGCTGCTCCCAGGTTCGATAAACCTTTGGTTGTGAACACTGATGCTTCCAATTTTACATTGGGTGCTGTGCTCAGTCAAGAAGGGGAAGATGGAAATTTACATCCCATAATGTACCTGAGCTGAAAACTGGCTGAGGGGAAACAACACTTCTCCACTACTGAAAAGGAATCTTTGCTTATTGCGTGGGCATTAAGAAGATGATGAAGAGAAGAATTTGGATTTTTACCCTGCCCTTTACTACCTGAAGGAGTCTCAGAGCTGCTTGCAATCTCCTTTCCCTTCCCCTCTCCACAACAGACACCCCATGAGATAGGTGGGGCTGAGAGAGCTCTTTTGAGAACTGCTTGTGAGAAAACAGCTCTGAAAGTACTTGTTTTGTTTTTTTTAAATCCCCAGAGGGATATTTTTTTATTTTGCAATGGACTACAAAACTACAAAGAAATATTAGGAAAGGGACTACAGTTAGGGATAAAGGAAAAAAACCACACTAAACTAAAATCCCAACATGAGGAGATCTTTTCACTGTTAATAAAAATGTTAGTAACTTGAGAGAAAAAAGAGGAAAGGACCCCAAAGTTTAGAAATTCCTTTCTTTTTAACTACACTTTGAAAGGGAGATTAATCTCAGAAGGATATTACTAACATATTAATTGCTTTGTTTAACAGGGACAGAAGAAAAGAAGAACACCTGACTGCAGAAGAAATTATGGACTTTAACTTTTATCATTAACAGAATAATATACTAATACATTAACACAACTCTTTTCTTTATCCCTCTATATACCCTCCCTATTTTTCTGAATTTTAAGCGAAATATCTCTCCTTTTTAGGAGAGGGAATAAAACATTTATAAAAAAAATAAAAATAAAATAAAAATGTTAGTACAATAAGTGTTAGTATCACAATATACTTGTGGAGTTCTTGCTTATAACAGAGCACCATTTATATGTTATGTTTATTAGTTGTTATGAGAGAAATCTCTGATCATCTTCTTGTTCTTTGCTTTTAAAGGCCATTTTCCAAGTCCTTCTGCCTTTACTTCAGCTTTCTGTCTTTAAAATCGTATACAACTCTGGCAGGTCCTGCACCCTTTTCTGTAGTAGAGTCCTCCTCAGAGGTAGCAGAGTCACTAGACTTCATTTCTTCCTCTTTGGACTCTTCCTCTGTTCCCAGCTGATGTTGCAGAGATTCTTTAGCTTTAAAAATGGAGTCTATCTTTCTCTCTTCTGTCGTTGATCTTAAAGATGACACCTTCCGGGACCGCCCATCTGTACGATATCCCATTAGTTTGAAGGAAAGAAATTAAGTCCTTATAATTTTTTCTCTTTTGTCTAATTTCAAATGGAATGTCCTTTAAAGTTTTAATGGTTACATTTTCCATTTTCAGTGGAGTTGCTGATGTTGCTTTTAAAATAGCATCTCTGGTTTGTCTTCTTGAGAACCTGACCACTATTTCTCCAGGCAGGCTATTTTTTTTTTAATATAGTTGGAGTATGCCCTATAGGCTGACTCCATTTCGTTTACAAGTTCATTCGCTGTTAAGCCTACTACTGGAGCAATGAGCTTGCTGAGTATCTTCTTCAGATCCTCCCACTCCATTTCAGCAACTCCCTGGAACTTGAGAATCATGTCTGCTTTTTCCATCTGTAGCTGCATCACTCGATTCTCTTGACAATTTTGCTTCGTTTTCACTTCTCCCATTCTTTTCTTCAACTTCTTGCTTGTGGTGTCTATCTCTTTAAATCTTCTAGTTTGCCTGCTCCACTTTTTTCTCCGTTTCATTCAGCTGGAGCTGCTGTGCTGCGAAGTTTTTGTTCATCACGGCCAATTGCTGGTTAATACCATCAAGTTGTTCCATCACCGGCTTGAGCATATCTGCCAAGAGTTTAATGACATCTGCTCCCTCTTCTGGTTTTGGACTCTGGCTGCCAGGTGGTTTCGTTTTAAACTTTCTTTGCTGGGCCGCCATTTTTGCCATTTTGTTTACAGTTCTACCGCTTCTTCCCGACTCGAAAAACTCACCCAATGATGTTGCAAATCAGATAAGTCTCTCAAAACACATTCGCTTTGTATCCTCCCCTCTCCCCCTTTGTATCGCTTAACAGTTAATTCGCATCAGAGGTGTCCCTCTTTGCAGTCTCATTTATCAGCAGAGGGGGAGGGGGGATCACTTTTAAAGTACCGTATTTTCCGGCGTATAAGACGACTGGGCGTATAAGACGACCCCCAACTTTTCCAGTTAAAATATAGAGTTTTCCAGTTAAAATATAGAGCTGTGCTGACGCTTCTGGTGTACCGGCATATAAGACGACCCTCCACTTCTGAGAAGATTTCCCTGGGTTAAAAAGTAGTCTTATACGCAGGAAAATACAGTACTCCATTTTATTCATAACTCACCTTCATTGTCGGCCAGTGTCTCTGACCACGCTTGGTTTATACGCCATATCGCTCAATCTCCGGCGGTTGTCCCAGTCAGACCAGCTTGTGCCCGAAGGCCACTCAGCGGCTGGACCATTGGGGTGGAGGGGAGCCTCAATTCTCCAGCATTCCACCATCGAAGAGGCTACCCCTCAAAAGCCCCCTGGCCTGGAGCCTATCACAAAGGCTCCGTGGGGGTGTCACTTGAGGCGGCACCCCTCCATGCCGCTGGTGTGCAATTCGCCCTTCCCCAGTGTGGGGAGAGCATCTGCCATTGCTGCTCCATAGACTGGAAGTCAGCTCTGAAAGTACTTGTCACTGACCCAAGGTCACACCAGCAGCTGCATGTGGAGGAGTGGGGAATCAAACCTGGTTCTCCCGGATTAGAGCCCTAACTCCTAACCACTACACCAAGCTTAAGTAAATTAAAGCCATATTTCTGGGGACAAAAGTTTAAAATGTGCGCAGGTCATTCTGCCTTATGTTTGCTTCAAAATGTGAACACTAATAATGGAAAATTAATAATTGCAAGATTTTGATTTTGGCATAATACACACAGGCTCAATCTGCATTTAGCATTTGCTAAGTTGTTCAAAACCATATTCAGCTACCCCGGGCCAACACCGTACTGACTGCAGAGTCACCCCCGAATGGCCATAAAACAGCCATAAATCTATGCAGACAGTCACCATAAAACCAGAGATCAAACAAAGTGAAAGCAGCATGCAGTCTGGACACTGCCATAAAATTCGACACTCAATTAAAGTGAAAGTGGCATGCAATGTAGACAGGAATGTAGACAGGAATTTCCATTCCAGTGTGGGTTTGGTATAACAGCAGAGCAAATGCTAGATGCAGACTGGGCCACAAAAGGGAAAGAAAATAATGAATGAGCACTAAGAACTCCTATGGATGCTGGCCTGGTTACACTGGATTACTGTACAGCAACCGCCATCTATACTGATATGCACTTTACTTGTATATTGTTTTATGTAGAATTTTATTGTATTGCTGTTATGCACTATGTTTTATTGTATTTTACCTTGTTGCATGCCGCCTTGAGCCTGCATGTGCAGGCAAGGTGGGATATAAATAGAAAATAATAAAAATGGCGTTGTGGATGATAAAGTAGGTAATGTAATGCAAGCTTAATTGTGTAAATAGTTTAAAACTAACAATCTAATATATGGATAGGAGTAAAGTTTCAAAATCTGAATATGTTTTGTAAAATTATACATAGGAGGAGTTTAACAATGGAAGGTGATGTTGAAAAAATTATATAATACCGGAGCAAAAGGCTTCATTGATCAGGAAAATGTTGGCAACTTCCCTGATGCAAGGACTCCGAGGGTGGGTCATGTAATGATTCCAAAAAGTATAGCCTGAGGAAAGGATTAATCTCTGTGAATGACAGAGCAGACGGGGAGGAGGGAAAAGATTCAAAACTGCCATGATGGGCAATGGGTGGTTAAAAAACAAACAGACAGGGGAAAAGAAACAGGGGGGGGGAAAGGGAGAGGAGAGGTATTATGAACCCTGAGAGAGGGGAAGGCTCAAAGCAGAGTGGAAATAACTGTCAGACCCCGGTCCAGTTACACTCGACAACTCTCTCTTGGCAGTGATAAGTTTATTGAGTTATATGCACAAGTTATATGCAAGAGTTTATTGAGTTATATGCAAGATCCCGAAAGTCACTATGTGAAGGCACAACCAACGTTGGTCAGACTGCTCATTCCCAGTATGAATGCCTCCCCTCTAATGCATTTCTTAATGGATTGTGCATGTGAAAACAGGCTAAGGATGAAGCAAAACGAATGAAGGAGAAATGGGCAGTAACAAATGAGGCACTCCAGTTGGTACAGCTTACGACGGACTGCTGCGGGGAACAGCACAGAGCTTATATGGGCGGGGAACAAATGATGCTCCGACTATAGGATCTGCGTTGAGCTCTTTCACGCCTTCTGGCAGCTGGAAAGTGAATGTCTTCAGCATGGTGGTGAAGAAGGTGAAGAGCTCAATCCTTGCCAGCTGCTGTCCCAGGCACGCACGGGCCCCTGCAAAGGAAAGGAGGGAAGGCAACATGTGAGGAGTCTATGAACATGTATTGTCTAGAATGTATCACCTAGGCTTGGACTTTGGTAAAATGGCACGAGCTGACGGGCCAAGGCTTCCCTCTACAAGAAGGAGGAGGAGGAGATTGGATTTATACCCCGCCCTTCACTCAGAGTGTCTTACAATCTCCAACCCTTCCTTTCCCCAAAACAGACACCCTGTGAGGTAGGTGGGCTGAGAAAGCTCTGAGAGAACTAATCTTGAGAGAATAGCTCTGAAAGAACTTGTAACTTACCCAAGGTCACCCAGCTGGTGGCATGTGGAGGAGTGGGGAATCAAACCCCTTTCTCCAGATTGGAGTCCACCACTTTTAACCCTTCCATGGCAACTTGCGTTTCTACAACGGTAAATCCTCCACACCACATTTCATTGCCAACCTGCTCACTTCCTATTTTTCTGCCCTCCTGGCCGACAAAAAAAGAAGAGAACCAACACAAGAGTAGGACCACACTGAACTGCAGTCAAATGATTGTCCCTGGGAGAAGTCTCACCTTGTCCAGTATCTGTCTATAAAATCATTCATCAAGCGCTTTTAAGTATTTAATTGTGCATGTAACAGCAGAGACTCTTGTGAGGAAACTAGGGGGAAAATTCCAGGGATCCTGAAAAATTGGCTCGACCATGGGGCTGGCCTAGTGTGATGAATGGGCAAAACTCCCACCCCTTTCTCAAAAGACCCACAATCCTATCTCCAGTACACATTTATAGCCTGTAAAACCATTGAATGAATCACCGAAGTTTTCCTTGCATGGACCGGTATACCTACCTTTCGTAGCTGTCACTCTGCAAAGGGGGATAGTGACAATATCAAATAAACTCCATACACCACTAGGCTGTGTACATATAATTCAAAACCCCATCTGCAAGTCATGTGACTTGTGTTTTCATAGAATGTTTGGTCTGGAAGTTGATTGTGGGGACCATTACTGGGCATCAATGCAAGCCTTTTTGGGGTTTCAGAGGGGATCCGTGTTGGTTTGCAGTAGAATAACTAGATTGGAGTCTAGTACCACCTTAGAGACCAACAAGATTTTCGGGGTGAATACTTTTGAGAGTCAAATCTCCTTGTATCAGATCAGACAAAGGCTGCTTTGACTCTTAAAAATTTATACCCCCCAAATCTTGCTGGTCTCTAAGGTGCGACTAGGCTCAAATCCAGTCTTTTGGAGGGAAGCAACACAGCTTCCTCCTCTACAACAGCTTATTATGACTGTTTTTTCTGGGGCCTGCTTACCTGAGGGACCGACTTTTCCCATATGTTCCCCAGAGAGCACTGAGGTCAGGGTCTCAAAATCATTTGGCCCTCCCTGGACCGAAAGACGCCAGACTGGCCTCTACCAGGGCCAGGGCCTTTTCAGTAGTGGCTCCATACTGGTGGAATGAGCTCCCAGAAGACATTAGGGCCCTGTGGGACCTTTTACAGTTCCGCAGGGCCTGCAAAACGGAGCTCTTCCACCAGGCCTTCGACTAGGAGCCGCTACCAACAACTGAATTGTAGTAAGGCACTTCATGCCATCACTAACAACCTGCGATCAATGTTCCCTCTAAGCTGTAGAGTCCTGTGAGCAAAAATTCTACTTTGTGAGCTACTGGCAGTAAAGTTGTGAGCAGGTGATTTGGCTACTGCATAAATTAGTGTGTTCTGGAGCCCTCCTTCCTGAGCCAAGACAAAAATCTGTGAGCCGGAGGCTAAAAAACTGTGAGCTAGCTCACACTAACTCAGCTTAGAGGGAACACTGCCTGCGATACACTGGATACTGACTCTGGCCTTACTCCCTTGGTACCATCTTATGGGATCACTAGGTAATGTTATACTGCCACCAGCACTTTAACTGCTTGTTTGTCAGTTTTATGATATTGTCAGCTATGCTGCCATGAAGGTTGGGGAGTTTGGTCTGTATCTGGTTAATTGCTATTGCTTTCCTTTCAGGTTAATTGCTACTGCATTCCTTTCTGTGCTTTCTCTGCTGTGCACCGAAACGCTTATCTATACAGATGTGCAGGAGGGTGTTGTGGTGTCTGGGTTTTACCTAGGTGTCGTGGGAGAGTGTTCGTTCTCAGCTTCAGCTACCTAACGGTCTCTAAGCATTATCCCACATGCGGGAGGGTGCCTAATTGGCCAGTGTTATGGGGTATGTGTGTGCATACGAATACCCTATATCCTATTATGCCCATGGGGCCACCGCCATTCTTAACAGTGCCTATGTTACTGCATCTATAGCTCTGCAACAAAAGTATAACTATTCCTGAATGCGTGTACTTCGTCGTTGGCTGTGGGTTCTGACAGATATTTATTGTTTGTGTTTTAATGTATATTATCCTTTTAATGTAAGCCGCCATAAGCCTTCCTGGCAGGAATGGGTGGGATATAAATCCAATTAAACAAATAAATAAATAATATTTTCCATGAATTTACCAAGTATGGGTTGGGCTTGGCTAAAGTTTTTGTTCTTGTTCCCAAAAAAGGTCTCGTATGAGGATTGGAAAAGTATAATTGTTTTCAATTTGTAGCCAGGAATGTTTTGGGTTGTCTGTTAAGAACTTAGTTGTTGAGGCAAGAGTGGAGGCTTCTAAATATAATTTAAGGTTAGGGCAATCGAGTCTGCCTCTCCCTCTGGGTCTATAAAGTATGCGGGGAGGGCGGGGTATAAATGAAATAAAATAAAAATAAATAAATAAATAAAAATTATGTTGAAACCTTGGGGGTTTTTTGTCTGCCCAAATGAATTTATTAATTCCAGATTGCCATTTGTTGATCTCAGTTTGTGTGACTGGGACAGGTAGGGCCCTAAATAAAAACAAACATTTTGGAAGAATAAATGATTTAATTAACTGGATTCTATCAGGTAAAGAAAAAAACACATTGTATGCCAGTTTTTAAGCTGAATCTGAATCTTTCTGAACAGAAAGTCAAAATTGTTTGTGAATAATGTAGAAAAGTCAAAGGGGATTTATATACCCCTAAATGGCACCAGTTTTTAATAATCCAATTATTCTGTTGGTCTCTAAGGCGCTCCTAGACTCAAATCTAGTGTTTTGGAGGGAAACAGCACAGCTTCCTGCTCTGCAACAGCTTAGTACAGAGAAGGGAAGCATGGTCTACTCTCAGATGTTTGGAGTCTGCATCTGTAATCCCATTTACTTTGTTTACCCCCCTAAACCTGACACATTTGTGGTAATATGCTGCTTGAAAAGGGGGGGGGACAATATGGAAGCTGTCACTGGCTGTGTAAAGCAGTTTCAGTCTGCTGCGATGCCGTTGTACTCTGTTCCCCTTTCCCTCCCATTCTGGCTTGGAATAAAGGCTAGCTGTCTGCATCAGTCCTCACCAGGGGTCCTTTCCTGCAGGAGCACACAGGAGCGGAGCTCCGGCAGTAAAGAGCCCAGGGGGCGGGCACATGCAACAAGCCTCACCCCTTGCTCCCACCAGCCCTCAGTCAGAGCAAGAAGCAGCCAGGTAAGTTGCAGAGCTCCCCCCCGGCCCCCTGGTCCAAAACAGTCCAGTGGCACCTTTAAGACCAAGTTTTATTCAGGTACAAGCTCTCCCTCCTCTGCAAGGACAGATCTGCATGTCCCCCCCCCCAATAGCTAGCAATCCAAAACAGTCCAGTGGAGCCTGAGCGGTGGGCATTGCCTTCTGACACACTTCCGGTGATGTCAGGGGGTGTGGCAGATGCAAATAAGTAATGCTAATGAGTTATGCTAATGAGCTCCTGCACCTCTTTTTCTACTAGATGACCCCTGGTCCTCACCATGGCAATCGCAGGGGCACAGGAGAGAGAGGGGGGGCAGCAAAAAAAAAAAGATTGTAGAAAAATGTTCCCCGGCTGCTTTTAAACACAGACGACTGGGGGGGGGGGATTCAGCCCCAGTTGTCTGCTTTTTGCTCACAGTGTTTCAAGGGCAGGGAGGAGCAACTGGAACTGCTTTAAACGAGATCCTGATAATGCAGTGGGACACCGTAGTGACCTCAGAATGGCCCCTACAGGGCAATAAAATAATGCAGACAGCCAATGCTTAATCAATGCAATAGGAAGGTGACAGCGGCATGCAGTGTAGACAGGAATTTGTGAGACAATGTGAAATTGAAGGCACAGCAGTGGAAAAGACCAATGCAGATTGGACCACCATTTTACATTCTAAGCATCCTTGGCCAGGCTCAGCACCTCTGTTTAAAAGAGTTCCTGTAAGTGGCCAGCGAAAACCTCTGCCTGAGACTGCAGAATGGCTGGGAAATGGGGTGGACAGTCCTAGGCCACTTTGTTCTGACTACATTGCTTTGGAATGTAAACACTGATAAATTTTGTGCCCTATGTTAACTCTGTCTGGACCACAAGAGTTGTTGATATACACTTGTTAGAATTGTTATCTCTGTAAAATTTGGCTAGGGAAAATACTTATAGATAAAATGAATTATATTGATAGACTGCAACAGACCCCAGAGGCTTTATTTTTAGCTACACCAGAATTTTTGGAGAATAAAGCTATACAGGTTTCCTTGAAAGACTTTCTGAACATAGTCCAAGATACACTTGCTCTGGCTGTGAAAAAAAGCAGTGGAAGAAGCCTTCCAACCAATGCTCCCTCTAAGCTGTGGTGTCTCGTGAGCAAAATTTCTGCTTTATAAGCTACTGGCATTAAAGTTGTGAGCAAGTGATTTGGCTGGTGCATAAATTAGTTTGCTCTGGAGCCGTCCTTCCTGAGCGAAGACAAAAATGTGTGAGCCGGAGGCTAAAAACTGTGAGCTAGCTCCCACTAATTTAGCTTAGAGGGAACACTGCTTCCAACCAGTACAGACAGAGATCCAGTTACTGACGCAGCAGATTAAAACCAAGAGAGAAACAGCCCAGGCAGCGTTAAAAGAGAAGGGGAAAAGGTCTGACTGTTTTGAAAATGCAGAGGAATTTTACAAACAAGATGACTGGATTTACAAGCAAGAACTTAAGTCTATAAAGAGAAACACAACCTTCACAAAAATGCACCAGGGACTCTACAAAACAATCGTGCTGGAGGAAACTCCCCAAATGGTGACTTTTTTACCATCTCAGAGAGAACAAAAAAAATCAATCCATGGAACCACAAGCTACTACTAACTGGGAACATAGATGGCAGTTTCCAGAATAACCTTTTTACACTTACAAAGAAAAAAGATACAGAATCAAGACTTTGAAACTTAAGAGGAGAAATCAGAAAATTAAGAAAACGCTGATACATTAAAAAATTGGGAAGACTATGATGAAATTCCCTCTATTTTTGGTCTACATCATTTATACATTGAGGGAATCCTAGGCCCCGGTCACACGAGAGGTTTTGGCCCGGGAGAGGGATGGATCGAGGGCGGAGCAAACAGGTGCGAGCACACCGCAACATTTGGGAATCGGCGTGCACCCGTCCCCAATCTGGCCCTTCAGGCCGAAAATGCGCATGGAAAAATAACCACCCCCAGAGGAGGACTTACTGGATAAGCCACAGCAAGTGCAGCTGTCAGATCGCCGGCACGCTCGTCTTCTGGAGCAACCCAGGCTCTTGGCCGAACTACACTTGCTCAAACATGCGCAGTTCAGCAGACTCTCTCCCCCTTCCGTAGCTTCCCCCTGGCATCTGATCGTGCTGGGGAGGAACTGCGCGGCAGCTCAGGGGATCTATGTGATCCCGCCGCCACGTGTTTCTTTTGGTGTGGCTTTAAAAAGCTACACTTTGCCCTTTCTTTTTCCCCACGTGTGGCAGGGGCCCTAGATACTTTTGATGGAGTAGGATCCAATTATATCTGTAATCAGAATCACACATAAAATAATCCAAAAACTGAGTAGCTTGTTTAGGGTTAGGAAAGTTTATATTCGAAGATAATAAGAAAATTGGCATTTATGTATTTGCAAAATTTATATAATTAATATATGGTGGGAAAATGAGATAGATTTAAATTGGTGTATGAGGTAATGTATTAGAGAAAAGTTTAATATGAACCAATGTATCCCAAATTTTATGTTTGTTTGTTTTCGGGGGGGGGATGTTAAAAAAAATGGCTAACGGCAACACTCCCTGGCTGCTGTGTCTGATCGATCAAGGACGGGATAAACGCACTTTCAAGAGTGCTAAAAGGGGTGAGTCTGATCAGGATTATCTGTTACAAAACAACCTGGATCAATTAGAGGTGGGGCAACAGCAGATTGAACTGCATGTCTGACCACAGCCGTATGCTCTCAAAAGAATTCAGTTCCCTATTTCTTCCAAAGCTGTGACATTTGCAGTGCTATACTGCTAAATGGGAGGAGTCATTGCTCCATGGAAAAGGACATGCTCTACATGCAGAAAGACCCACATTCTATTGCTGCTTCCATTACTTAAGGGTCTCAGGTAACAGGGTTGGGCTTCTGCCTTAGATCCTGCACCACCTTGCAGAGCATCCAGCAGTCAGAGTGGGCTCGAGGTCCAATGTCCCCATGTTCTTGCTCAGTATAAGAGCTCTACAAGGTAAAGGTAAAGGTTCCCTTGCTCGAAAGCCAGTCGAGTCCGACTCTAGGGTTGCGGTGCTCATCTCCATTTCAAAGCTGAAGAGCCAGCGCTGTCCGAAGACATTTCCATGCTCATGTGGCCGGCATGACTAAACACCGAGGCACACGGAACGCTGTTCCCTTCCCACCGAAGTGGTACCTATTTATCTACTTGCAATTTCTTGCTTTTGAACTGCTAGGTTGGCAGGAGCTGGAACTAGAGACGGGAGCTCACTCCGTCATGTGGCAACTCGGGTCTTGAACTGCTGAACTACCGACCTGCCACAGCCTGCAGTTCAGCGTCTTAACCACTTGAGCCACCACAGCTCTATAATGTTATGCAAAAAAGAGAGAGAGAGGAAATAAGCCTTGTAATGTCCAAACTAAATTTAATAGGGTTTACCTTTCAATCGTTTTCTATCCAAAATTATAGTAAGATTTGTCATAAGGTTTTGGTAATGCAGTGATTCCTAAGAAACATTCTGTACAAGAAGAAAAGATTCCTCTATAAACAGCTATCAACCACACTTTGCATTTACCTGCACCAAACGGAAGAAATGCTTCTCTTTCCACAAAACTTCCATCCTTGTCCAAAAAATGATTTGGGTTGAATTCCTCCGGTGTCTCCCATTGTTTAGGATCAAGAAGAACAGAATTTAGATCTGGAACAATAATGGCCTCCTGGAAGAATGAAAGTGTTGCTTCAGGGTTCATACAGACAAAGATATTGATCTTTTCCAGTCATTGTCCCAATACTAGTATCTGCTGTTTCCTAGGGTTGCCAATCAGTGCCTGACACCTGGCAGGAGACCCGGGGGGGGGGGATATTGTTGGCACCATCACAGTGATGACATGGTGTCCTTTTTTGGGTTGAACCTGGAACTGGTCATGCCACTCTAGGCTTCAGTGGAAACTCTATGGTTTTACCATAGGAATTCTCATGAGTCCTTGAGTGGTGCGACGTCACTTCTGGGCTCACCCCAGAAATGATATTACACTGTTGATGCTACAGCGGTTTCTTCCTTATATTTAACCTTGTTGGCCTACTGAGTGGCAGTTCGGGTTGGGGGCTGCCAATGGGAGGTTTCCTGTTGTAGGGAGTGTCATGGCATCCCTATTTTCCCCACACCCTCTCAAAGGTCTAGAATGGCCCCAGCCATTTCTAACTTTCATTTCTAGCAACAACAGAGTGATACTTAATGTAATTTTTTTTTTTGTAATTTGGAGGCCCCCGTTAGAGCCTCAGGTCTAGGCCAAATGACCTTTCTTGAACCCTCAGACTGGCCATGGCTGTTTCCCATATATACATGCTTCAGTCTCCTGAAACTCAGGAATCATATCTTCATTCAGTAATGGCTGGATTTCTAGGCATGAACTCATCAGCTCACTCTGTTAAAAAGATGTTTGCAAAACGAAAACACAATGTACCCTGCCTTTGGCTCAGTCGGGAAACCAGAATTTTTCAGTGGGAGAAGAGCTTTGTAAAGTGCCATCACTGCTTTACTGTTACAGCATTTATACTAGAAAAAGGTTTTTAAGAAATATATGCTAAATGTATGAGCCCTCTGAGTACTGACAGTCATCCTATCATTGGATAAATTTTTGAATACTATCAAGAGGCACTGACAGTAATAGATCAGCACAGATGGGGCCAGATAAATTGGGGGCTGACACAATTCTAATAATTTAATATTTCTGGGAAATACGTCAGGTTTGTAGCCGTCAAAAACTATTACACAGGAAGCTCTTATACATGAGACTTTAAGCTGCTTTGAAACTCTTTAAGGTAAAGAAAACTGGGGTTTAAAAACTCCCCTCCTCCTCCTCCTCCTCCTCCTCCTCCTCCTCCTCCATCTTCTCTTCCCCTCCTCCTCCTCCTCCTCCCCCTCCTCATGATGTACATCTTACAAAGTGCTGCCTTTTTAGATATCACTCTTAGAATCCAGAAGTGCAACCATAAGAATATCCTGTACCTTTGGATTCCGATCTTGGTAGTGGAATAATTGAGAAGAACCTAAAACATCCTCAATCTCCTTGTGGACTTTCTCTGAGAAAAACAATTTTTAAAATCTTTATTATGGACACTGCATTTTTCTGTACCTCCTTCATGAACCAGTGAGACTATTCGATGTCACATATTCAAAAAATTGGAATGTACATGGAGCTGTAGGCTCGGGTCATGAAGCTATGAAAAGCAACAACATCAAAAAAGGAATTGGAGTCCTTTCACCCAAATTGGTCCCCATGATCACTTGCTGTGTGGCAAGAGGGGGCAAACTGCGTTATTGCACCTGGGAGGGTGAAATCATCTGCAGAAACCAGGGAAAGCAGCAAAACAAACGAAGTGCAGATGCGGAAATACTTGACATGGCAGAATCAGTCAGAGAGTGACTGGCCTGAGATCACCCAGTGAAATCTAAGATCATCCGATGAATGAGGATTTCAATTTGGGTCTAGTTCCAGGATCTAGTTCAGCACTCTGAATATTATGCAGACTAGCTTTCTCTGGTCCTGGTCACACGGAGGGTTTTGGCCCGGGAGAGGGACGGATCGGGGGCGCAGCAAACGGGTGCAATCTCACCACAACATCTGGGAAGCGGCGCACACCCATCGCCAATCCGTCCCTACCCCCGAAAACCCACAGGAAAAAAAGAACCACCGACAGAGGTGGTCTTACCTGAATGGCAAGCGCGGCCGTGGGGTCGCCGGCGCGTCCTTCTACTGGCGCATCCCTGGCTCCTGGCCGAACTGCGCATGCGCACACATGCGCAGCCGGCTGCCTCGGTCTCCGACTGTGACTTCCTCCCTGGCATCTGATCGTGCTGGGGAGCATCGGTGCCGCGGTTCAGGGGATCCATGTGTTCCCGCCGCGGCGTGTCTATTTTGGTGCGGCTTCCAAAAGCTGCACTTTGGCCATGCATTTTCTTCCCCGTGTGGCAGGGGCCTCCGATGGGTATTCAATGTCTTTAATGTAGTTCTGATTCATTCAAGTCTTTTTAAAACTGCAATAATAATTTAATTCATTTTATCCATTTTCCAATGAAATTTACTAAGAATTCTTGGGATTTTTTCCTAGTGCCATCTGGTTCTAACAGAGCTTTCCTTTGCAGGTTATCTGCTGCTGTATTCATTGGAACTTACTCCCTGTTAAGGATTAATAGGATCGTGCTGTTAATTAGCTACTCAGTATGAGCACTTCAAAGAATGACAACCTGGGGGTATAAGGTTGGCCTTTCTTTAAGTCAATATAGAAGTCCTTCTTACCTTGGATGTCTGGGTGATTTGCCATGAAGAGCAATGCCCATCGTAATGTCAAGGATGTTGTTTCTGTTCCTGCGATGAAGAGGTCAAAAATACACTGTGTCAGATTGTCTTCATTGTAAGTAGACTTGGGGTCATTCTTGCTCTGTTGTTGATGGTAAAGAAAGTGAGATAGCATTTTCAATAACTTCTAAGCATTTTGACTCTGAAGCCATGGTTATAAATCTCTACGACATGTACTGAGGAAGCGTCAGATCAGTTGCAACCACACCCAAAGCCCTATACTACTAGAAACCTACAAATGCCATGAATTAGATCCATAGGTCCAAGCAAATTTTGTCATCCAAGGTAAACCACCACAACAAAAAGCAAAGATATTAATAAGAATCAAATATATTTTTCAGAAGAAAAAATATATGACTGAGGCCCCGGTTACACGGGCCGGATAACGTGAGGAGGGAGGTCTGGCTATTTGCGGCACATTAATTTAATGGACCAGAATGCAATCCCACACGTCGGTGGCATGCCATGGTTCCTTCCCTCCGCGTCTGCATGTCAACGAGGAGCCAGAGGGAAAAGCGGAGCGCCGGCGTGCTCACACAGAGGGAGTCCAGTTGCTAGGACCTTCGACCAGGTATTTTTTTATTGTGCATTTTCGGCGATACGCCACGGGTTGGCCACGGGTGCGCTCCACTTGCCAGATGTTGCAGTGTGATCATGCCTGGAAACTCTGCCATTCAATCATGGCTCTCCCGTAGCAAATTTGGCATGTGAACGGGGCCTGAATTAAATATCCATTGATTGATGAACAAAATATTCACAACCTATGGAACTGTCCATTTATTAATCATGTGAGACCCAATGTGTCTTTCTCAGTAATCCCTTTAAGAAAAATCCATACATACAGAATTTTAAAAGTCAATGTGTATTTGAATTGTCAGTGACCCATGCCCAGCCAGCCAGCTAGCCAGCCATTTTTTACTAGGGTTGCCAAGTCCATTTTCACCAGGAGTGGGGGGCTCCTGGCCGGCGTCTGGAGTGTGCATGCGAACCACATGCACATCACCCAGAAAAGTGACGTGACGACACCAGGCATGCTGGGGGTGGGGCCACGGCCATCCGAGGGAAAACCATAGAGTTTTCCCTCAGATGGCTGTGGCCCCGCCCCCAGCATGGCCCACGTGGTCGCGTCACTTCCAGGTGACATGCACATCGGGGTGGAGTTCCCCCCGGGGCCCGATCCCCCGGCGGCCGGGACCGGGTCTCTGGGGCAGGAGTTTTCCTGCCCCCCGGGGGGACTTGGGAAGCCTATTCTTTACATAAAAAACAACAACAACCCACCCCCCTCGTCTTCGATGTGAATATAAAGAAAAAACATATAACTAAATGAAGAGAAGCCACTATTCTGTAAATTTTAACACACTTTGTTATACTTTTTATATTGTAAATATCTATCATAAGTAACATTATTGTATAAAATACATTTCATGAGTAAATATATATAGGTCTGTGGTCATACCATAGAGAATGGTACTAACAGAATATCCATCGATCTAATTTATTACAGCAAGAGCCAGTAAAACAGCACAATTCTGATAGAAGAAGGATTAAAACAATAATAGCATAGGAATAGTATAAAAACATTAACAAGAGAAAATTAATAAAATTAATAAAAATAAAATAATGTTAATAAGAGAATCATACATTTTTTCCAACTAAAAACAGTTTACATTTCCTAATAGCTAAGCAACAAAATTTTGCCACAGCATAAGTCACTGAGCTCTGAACGTCTCCTAAGAGGAATTTATGAAGGACCTGGCCTAAAGTCAAGATAAGACTGCAGAGGGCTAAATCCAGACAGAACGGGTAGTATAAGATGGTCTCGTTCCTCCTGATAGAATCTACAGAACAGGAGGACATGAGTAATTGATTCCACCATATTAGCCATGCATGGGCATATACGTTCATGCATTGGAACTCGAGTGAATTTACCTTGCAGTACAGCAGAAGGGAGTGCCTCAAAATGGGCTCTGGAAAAGACCCATGTATAGGGCTCATAGGTAATGTTAAATAAATAAGGGTCAGCAGTAAAATTAGGCCAAGATTTTATATTTCTGAAGTTGTTGGGTAGCGAAGCTTCTTCATTTTGTAACTCAGCATCACAAAGTCTCTGCGCGACAGCTGTTCTTGCCTTGTATAGGCTTCCATAGAAGAGATATTCTGGGAATAGGCCAATCTGATTAAATTTATTAAGAATTTGTGTGGACCAGGCAGGGTAGGGGTCTAATAGAATACAAGATTTTGTTTTAAATATTATGAACACAGTCCTGTTGTTGTGAGAAAAAAATAAAATAGTGGGTTCAGAAAATTTAAAACGCATTTATACAGTTAATTTTATAAAGAAATCATAGTGTTCTCTCTCTCCTCTATTTCTGTAACCTTCCAAACAGCTAGCAGTACATGACTCCCAACATGATTTTTGCTAGGCCTTTGTCTCAAGAGATATCTTTCCAGCAAACAGTGCCTGACTGTCTGACCTGAGTCAAGGGAACAAAGAACATCCTGAAATTGTAACATTCTTGTCTTTGTCATTTAGAGATTCGAATGCTATCTTGCATTGTTTTGCAAAGGAGCATCAGGGTGCCCCATTGCCTCTGGAATGTGTGAACATTTGCTAGGCCATGATGGCCCACAATTAACAGGGCAATTAGATTAATTGCTGCAGTTTATAATTTCTATGGCTCTATCGAAATGTATGGAACCAATATGGTATAAAAGCAGGCCAGAAGCTTCATTTCAGCACTGACTCTCGGAGATCCAGAGAAGGCATTGCCTTTCGTGATCTCTCTGGGCCAGTCCAGAAGCTTCTGCTGCATGGGGAAATCTTTTTCTATATATATATATATAAAACCACTGACTGTCTTTCTTTTTTTGAAGTAAGTATTTTGTTTTGTATTTCTTGCATGTCTTTAGCTAATAAACTACTTATTGTTTAAATAACCTTGTGTTGCATTCCAGCTAACTTTCTTTTAACATTCTACCCACTTTGGTAAGGGGCACTCACCAGACCATTATGAATCTAGAAGTGCAGGTAACACTATATAGGGTTAGTTTAGACAAGTGCTACAGGTGTATTTTTATGACACCTGGCTATGTTCCTGCGTTCTTCTAGTGGTGTTATCACTTTAAGTAGTCTTAACGAAGCTGTGAAGAAAAAAATAGACTAAAAAGCCTTCATTTCCCCAAGCTCTTAGCCAGCACATGTAACTTCATCCACTGTCATCCGTTAAACACAGAAAAAAACTTCAGTGACATAAGAAAATACAATGCATGTGAAAAATATATGACTCCAAGGAATGTAAAAGATACAGAGAGAACAAGCTCCTCTGGAATAGGAAGCTGTTTTGAATATCTTTTTCAACTTAGTCTCTCTGTAGATGTTCATCACCAGTCCCTTCACAGAGCACTACAGGAATGACAATAACAAGGATCAACGCAATCTCTCTCTAATGTCTTCCTGCCACTGTCAAATCCCCCATACTGCTTTCTCTTTGTGGATCACTTTCTTCCCCTGGGTCAAACCCCGGTAAGATGGTGTTTGACCCAGGGGAAGGAAGTGATCCAGAAAGAGAAAGAGGTACAGGGGATTCGATGGTGGTTGCGGGGGTCATGCTGGAGTCTACTCAGCAGGGATTTAAAGTCCAAATACCTGCTGAATGCCACCGCAGCATGACTGTGTGATACAAATGTGATACAATCACACCTGTGTGATACAAACGGGTTACGATTTCTGAGCTGGAGAGGAGACCTCCATTCAGTTTTCTGAGCCTGAAGCTCATACAGTGAAAGAGGTATACAGGTTTCAAATAATACAGTTTGAATTTACTATTGTCATTATCTTTTTTTATTGAGTGAATCTGACTTCACGTAGAAGGCGAATACTTACTTTCTCTATCTGAAATAGGTAGAAATCAATGAAATCTTGTGGCTCATGGGCAGCGTGATGCTCCTTATGCTTTTCTATCTCCTTCCTCGCAAACGAAAGCACAGCCTCCGCACTTGAAAGGGCCTTCTTGTGAGGCCCTGGGAGGTGATCCATGATCCATGGGAAAATTTCATAGAGCTACAAGGAAGATGAAAGCAAAATCCTATCAGTTCTATAAGATGGCTCAGTCTACAAAATAACTGCTGGGGTTCTCAAGTCAGCATAATGGGTTGGATTTTACCATGGGTGGCAAAACTTCCTTAACATAAGAGCCATATAGAATAAATGTCAGATGTTTGAGAGCCACAAGAAATGAACAAATATTACACACACACGTTTATTGAAAAATATGCAAATTTACTTTTTATTAACATTAAGTGAGGCTGCCAAACACAAAAGCAAAAGGGGTAAAACAGTTATTGATAATGATATTTATTTGCCCAATGATATATGTGTATGCTAATGATATTTATTAGTCTAAGAGAGAGAGAAAGAGAGAAAGAGAAACAAAGAAAGCAAATTGATGGGGGAGGGGGGAGGGAAGGAGAGATGAAGGGAGAGAGGAAGAAAAGAGAAAGGTGGAAAGAAAGTGAGAAAGAGAAAAACATAGAAAGCAAATAGATGGGGAGGAAGGGGGAGGAAGGAAGGAAGGAAGGAAGAGAGAAAGAAAGAGAGGGAGGGAGAAAGCAAGAGAAAGAGAAAGAAAGAAAGCAAATAGATGGGGAGGGAGGGGAGAGGAAGGAAGAAAGAGAAAGGTGAAAAGAATGAAAGAGGTGGAAAGAAAGAGACAGAAACATAAACAAAGAAAGCAAACAGATGGGGAAAGGAGGTGGAAGAAGGAAGAGAGAGAGAAAGAGAGAAAGGAAGGAAGGGAGAAACAGAGAGAAAGGAAGGTGTAAAGAAAGAAAGAGGGGAAGGAAAGCAAATGGATGGAGGAGGGAGGAAGGAAGGGGGAAAGAGAGAAAGAGGTGGAAAGAAAGCAAATAAATGGGGAGGGAGGAAGGGAGGAAAGGAGAGGTAAAAAGAAAGAAACTTTAACTTTAAATGTGTTCTCCAACACACACACCCCAACGTCCCCACACCAGCCGGCTTGCCTTGGAGAAGGGATTTAAAGAGACAAATGCCTTCTCCAAGCTGGCCAGCGGGGGGGGGGGGACCTTTGAGGACCCATTTAAAGTTGCTTTCTTTCTCTGCTCCCCCCTATCTCAAGCCTACTCAGGGAAGGGGAAACCGCCCAGGGAAGGAAAGACTGATCAGGGAGGCATGCCTCGCTTTCGCTTCCACAGCCGCCCTGCCGGGAGCCACACAATATGTGTGAAAGAGCCGCATGTGGCTCCCGAGCTGCAAATAAAAAGGAGGAGAGAATACTGTAAGCTGCTTTGGTCCCCTCTGTGGAGAAAGACTGCCATTTCCCTAGGTCGAGGCTTTCAGGGAGGGGGGTGGAGCAGGGCTGGTGCCAAGCTTTTTGCACACTAGGCGAGGCTACTTTCTGCTCCATCCCCCCCCCCCGTGCGCCCACCAATTTTCAAACATAAATGCAGTCTATTAAATGTACAGAATGTATAACGGGTAGAGCCAGCGTGGTATAGTGCTTAAGAGCAGTGGCCTGGTATCTATCTCCTCAAGCCATATCCTGTATGTCTCCCACATGCTCCCCAATGTGCTGGAAAGGTTGTGGCTTAACAGACTCTTTTGCACACTGTTGGTGGCCATGCACAAAAATAAAAACTTTCTAGCTAGAGATACTAGAGTACATTAAAAAGATTTTAGACACAGAGTTACCATTGAACCCCAAAAATGTATTGCTAGAGGTCTGGCCTAAACCCATCAATCAACATCACTATAGGAGCACATTGGAAACAATGCTGTACGCAGCAAGGGTTTCCATAGCCTCTACTTGGAAGGAAGAAGACATTCCCACTATCCAGACGTGGTACCGTAAGCTGTGGGACCAATATGTGATGGAAAGTAATGGACAAATGTAATCAGACCCTTCAAAAAAAAAATCCAAAACCCAACGTTCAGTGCAAAGTGGTTCCCAATCTTGAGTTTTCTGTCAGATGAAGAATATACGGGTGATTTCGCACTAGAGCTGCCTTGCGGCGCAGCCGCCGTTTGCCCCGACACAAACATGTCAATTTCACACCCGAAGCTGCGGGGCTGCATTTTGACTTGCAGCTTCGCCCAATTCCCTCCGAAGTTCCGTGATTCTGGTTTTTGAGGATCACGAAACTGCGGAGGAAATCGGGCGAAGCCGTGGGTCAAATGCAGCCCTGCAGCCTCGGGTGTGAAATTGACAAATAGTGTCGGGGCAAATGGCGGCTGCGCCGTGAGGCAGCTCTAGTGCGAAATCGCCTTATACCTACCTCTTGGACAGGTTTTCTGAAATGGATATCTGGCCACTGTGTGACACAGAGTGTTGGACTGGATGGGCCTTTGGCCTGATCCAACATTGGCATCTCTTATGTTCTTATGATATGAATATTATAACATATGATCTTTGATAGACATCACACGAATACTTTGGGTATAATTGGTTTACCTGTCAGGAAGAACTGAAATCTTCAGAAATTGGGTTACTCAGCTCCTAATTAGCAAGAAAATATCTCTAATCTGTTGTTATGCCTTTGGAATCACTCAATGTTTACTTGTACTCTTTTTGATCCACTTTATTATACATGACAATGTTGTAAGTTACGTTTAACGTTCATTACATTATTCGTTGATACTCCTCAATCATCTATTAACTTTTTATACAAGGTTTGTTCAATTGCACAAAAAAGCAAATGTAAATTTTTCAGTCTTTAAGAGCAGTGGCCTCTAGTCTGGAGAAATGGGTTTGATCCCCCCCGAAAATCTTGTTGGTCTCTCTGATGGCGCTAGACTCAAACTGAACTGTTCTACTCCTGACCAAAAGGGGGGCAGAAGGGGGAAAGAAAAGAGTGTGAGAGAGGTAGGGGGAGAGGGGAGGAAGCAAAACTGTGAGGAATGGAATAACCATCCTGCAAGTTTCTTGCGGGTCCCTACTTGTTCTTCTGTATTGGGGTGAATCTTTGAACCAGGCTCCAGGGAGTTAACAATGAAATCACTTTGTAATCTAGAAGATATTCATTTGTTTGGCTAGAAATGATAAGGGGGCTGAATTTTGTAGGGACAGAGGTATCTTTTATTGGTTTGTAATAATCTGTTGTACATATGTTTTCCTCTGCTGTTCACATATTGTGCCTTTTCAGTTCATTTCAGATATACTACTGAGTCCATGTTTCTCACTGGTTCAGCATGGCCCATATGAGTAAAATAAGACATAGATTTAATCAAGATATATTATCTAGTCAATCTGGGAAATCTATATATCAAAAGAATGATCAGCCAGTGGAGGTACGGTGTAAAAATGTTGTTAAATCCAACCCCATGAACAAAAGGCATCTATACTGATGTCTATTTTTCCATTGTTCATTATCAAATAGAAAGTCTTCTTATTCTGACAGAACCCATTCAAACCATAAAATTTGAGTCAGCCATTGAATATGGGAAATTTTTCTGTGTCCCTAGTCCTCTTAAAGGGTTCATCATAAAGACAGAAGGAAAGGAAATCTAGGAGACACCTGTTTGACCTAATAGGAAAGCAAAAGAAAATGACTTACAGCATGACCGAAGCTACCTGCAAATGCAGTCATATAGCCAATGGCTTCCATCAACTTGATGAATTCTATATCTTCAACAGAAAACCGGTGTCCAAAAGCCACAGCACAGATGATATTGCAGACGGAATTAGTGATGGGCATTGTAGGGTCAAATGGCTGCCCTGCAAATAAGGTTGGTTGCAAAATATTTTTCCTCTTCTGTTAATGCTAAGAGTGGATTTTATAGTGGAGTTAGGTAAGAGAAAGTGAGAACTTAGCAATCTTAAGAGTGGTTTATCTTTTTGAAAAACATTCAAAAATATATCGAGGTATTTTCCAAAACACACAACATAGACAAATATCCCCTCACACCCAACCACAGCAGTTTTTAATAAAGGTCATTCTGAGATGTCATCTAGGATTGTTCCTTAAGACCTTATGGTTGCCAGGTCCCCTCATTGAACCGGCAACTGCACTATATAAGACTGAAAATTGATTATAAAGACATAATTATATTGAAAGAGATAACTGTTTCGATTTTATGTAAGACAAAAGAATACATCTTCCTAACTGAAAAACTAAAAGAGAAAAGGATCTCATTTCAATGGGATAAATTAGAGGATGTGCTCTTTACTTTTGAACAGCAAAGATTTAGACTGAATTATGTCCAATAGGCAAGAGAATTTCTAGAAAGATTTAAAAGGGTGTTGGATGAGATGCAACCAGCGATTCAACAAGAAGTGGCTACACAAGATCCTCAACAGGACATGGAAAAGGAGGACACTGAAGTGGATGATTATGGATTACAAATGCTTAACACTGAATATAAATGGAGCAAATGCTCCTCAAAAGAAAAAAAAAAGAAAATATCATCATTTGAAAAAGTTAAAAGAAGACATTGGTTTGCCGTGAGATACTCACAAATGCCGGCCGGATTTTACTGGCATGATCAAATGGACACATCTGGCCAGCATCCGGCACCCGTTGGCAATCCGTAGCAGTCAGCCAAAGAAGTGGAGTAAAAAACAACCATGGAAAGTCTACTATCAAACAAGGTTGCGACGGGCCGAGGATGGAGTTGCTGGTGTGATCTCAGAAAGACATAGGTCCTTTTCAAGAATAGATATGATCTGGGTTTCAAGAGATGGGGTCACCAGGTTCTCTAAAGCAGAGAGTTTACCAAAGAGTTTTTCAGACAATAATCCTGTAAAGTTGGTTATTAAAAAAAAAAAAAACCTAGTACTTTTAGATGGAAACTAAATGAAGCATAGTTATAAAAAGAAGCAATTGCTGAGGATGGTAAGAAAAAACTAAAATAATTTTTTGAAATCAACTTAAACAAAGAAACTGATTTGAGAGTGGTTTGGGATAAAAACAAAGCATTGATTAGAGGTCATTTGATACAACATAATTCAGAGCTTAAGAAAAAAGACAAGAGAAATTACAAAATATTGTAGACAAGATTAAAAGAAAATAAGACAAATTAATTTTTCTGGGGGATATAAATATATCTCATCAAATAAAAAAAAATGCAGCAACAGTAATCTGTTAACAATAAGAGATGTGGAAATAAAACTGAATTATGTAAAACAAACAAAAAAGAATTTGTAAATAAACCTGGAAGGTGGCTGGCTATAAATTGAGAAAAGAAAGAGAAAAGAAAACAATATTAAAAAATACAAGAGGGAGCTAAAGTATTAGTCGACAATGTGGCTATCCAAAAAGCATTTTATAAGTATTATTCTACTTTATATAAAGGCCAAGATGTGTCAGAGATGAAAATTGTTTTTATGGTGTATGGCTTATAAGCTTTTAAACCTAATAAACTGAATGAATGAAAAACTGAATGAATGATGAAACAAAATTTACCTAAAATTACAGAAGAACAAAAGTGAATTATGAATGGATCTATAATGATAAGAGAAGTTGTAGAAGCTATAAAAAATTAAACAATGAAAAGTTCATGGACCAGATGGATTACTGGGTTTGTATTACAAGTACTTTGAGGATGAAATCTTACAGCATTTGTAAATTATGAATGGATATATAATGATAAGAGAAGTTGTAGAAGCTATAAAAAATTAAACAATGAACAGTTCATGGACCAGATGGATTACTGGGTTTGTATTACAAGTACTTTGAGGATGAAATCTTACAGCATTTGTAAAATATGATTTCTATTTTACACAGAGGAAAGATTCCACTGACCTGGAAAGATGCTAATATAACATTAATACCTAAAGAGGGTCAAGACCTGATGTTGACTAGAAATTATAGTCGAATATCTTTATTAAATAATGACTATAAGTTGTTTACAGTGATTCTAGCTCAAATATTTTAAATAATTCTACAAGAATTTCTTCATGAAGATCATTGTGGATTTTTGCCCCAAAGAGAGTTTAAAGACAATGTTATAGTTGTTTTTAAATATTTTGGAGTATTTTGAAACACTCAGTGAAAAGCAAGCCACACTGATTTTTATAGAGGCAGAGAAAGCATTTGATAATTTGAACTGGATCTTTCTGTTTAAGATTTTAGAAGGTATGAGTTTTGGAGAGAACTTTATTCAAAGGGTGAAATTGATTTATACTTCACAGACAACACAAATAATTGTAAATGGAGACTTATCTAAACCATGCATGATTCAAAAAGGAACAAAACAAGTTTGCCCTTTGTCCTCCCTCTTGTTCATCTTGGTTCTTGAAATATTGAATAGAGATGTAAGACATGTGAAGAGGATTGGGGGTGTAAATATCAAAGAAGAAAATTACAAACTGAGCCTTTGCAGATGATATTGTGTTAGTTTTGTAAGACATTTTAAAGAGAACTGAAGTATTAATGGCTAAATTGAAAGAATTTGATGCATTAGCAGGATTTAAAATTAATAAACACAAAACAAAGATGTTAACGAAAATATGAAGATACAAGATCAAATAGAACTGATGAGTAAAACTGGTTTTAAGGTGGAAAAGAAGGTAAAATATCTGGGTATTATGTTGACAAATATGAATTATATGTTATTTCAAAACAATTATGTCAAGATATGGAATGAAATTTAAAAATCATCATATTAGATGTGCCATCCTGAGAATATGGAATAAATAATGCCTTAGGTTATGTCCGAAAACACCTTTGTGGCTATCTTCCCAAGAAGCTTTTTATAGTTGAGAAATAATAACTAAGCATAATTGGTTAACATATCATGATATATTAGTCTTTTCTCAAGGGAAATGTAAAATTAAATTAAGAGAAGATTTGATAATAGAAGGATAAATGTCAATGGGTTTTTATGCACAATTATTAGAAAGGTTTAAAAAAGATAAGAGAACTTGTGATTTTGAACAATCCAAAACTGAATTTGAAACACAATCTTGTACAAATGATGAGCATGTTATTGCTAAAATGTATAAACTAATGTATAAACTAAACTACTATTGAAATTCAAGACTGAGGAAGAACGAATGAAAGAATGTATGATAAAATTGTTGAAAAATGTTGGACATAATATACAAATGGAACAATGGGAATACATGTGGAAGAAAGATCTTAAATTTACGTCAAGTTCTAGTCTTAAAGAGAATTGTTATAAAATAATGTACTGATGGTATATGTCACCAGAGAAATTATTTAAAATGTGTAAAAGTATCTCAAATAGATGTTAGACATGTGAACAACATGAAGGGACATTTTATCAATTATGGTGGACTTACAATAAGGCTAAATAATTCTGGATACAAATACATTAATTAATTCAGAAGATTTAAAAGATTAATTTACAAATGAAATCAGAGAAATTTATTCTTGGTCTAATGGACAGACAAAATGGAAAAAGTCATAGAATTTGGATTTGTTGATTAAGGGAAAAGAAAAAATGTAAGCAATAGGGAAAAGAGAATTAATATTTGGTTGCAATAACAGAGTAAGAGTCAAATCTGCAATTTCATGTAGAGAAAATCGGAAGTCTTTATATTTCTTTATCTCTGTATGTTTTTCCTTCCTCCCTCCCTCCCTTTCATCTCTATCTCTATAACTTTGGGTTTTTTTACTTCTCTGTTATAAAATTCTCAATAAAATCCTTTTAAAAAAAGAAAATTTAGAAAGCTATCCTGCTGCAGCCATAATTCTCCTGTCTGTTTTGGTATAGATGAGCGCTTGTTCTTTTTTGCTATTCTCTCTCTACTGACTTTATGATTAAATATAAATGAAAGGAGAAAGAGTTATTTGGATGCCATGTAAGTAACCTTGATGGTGTTTCTAACTCCCAATATGGGGAAATTTATCTAGGGTTGTGATTGTTGTTATTGAATAGCTAGCTGATGTGGGAGTGGGATAATGGGCAATCACATCTGTTGGTCACTGGCACCTCAAACACTAGTAAGGGGACCTTGGGAAAAATGGGGCTGGTGTGCTGGCGTTGGTAAAAAGGTGAAGGTAAAGGTTTCCCTTGTTCAAAAGCTAGCCGAAACTGACTCTAGGGGGTGGGTGCTCATCTCCGTTTCCAAGCTGAAGAGTCAGCACTGTCCGAAGACTTCTCTGTGGTCATGTGGCTGGCATGACTAAATGCCAAGCCTCAGAGAACGTGTTGGTAGACTACAGCAAGCATTGGTCAGCCCAGTTTCCTGACATCACATACCCTTCACACGAGCAAAAGTCTCGACAAGCTGATGGGCCTCCTCTTCTATTTGGTGCTCCAGGCCTTTCTTCCCCAGTCCCAGCTTCCGCATGGTGGCTAGCCCGAACTTCCTTTGTTGCTTCCATGTGTGACCATTTGACAATATAATACCTAAAGCCATGAAGAATCAATGTGAAATTAGTCCTCAAAGAAATTACATTAAAAAAAAATATTTAGGTTGCCAGACTAGAAAACAACAAACTTTCTTAATTGAAAAAGCTTTCTTTTTCTAACAATTTTATTAGAAATATATATATATATCACATCTTACAACAGATTCAGGTGGGTAGCCGTGTTGGACTGACGCAGCGGAACAAAGTTTGAGTCCAGTGGCACCTTTAAGACCAACAAAGTTTAATTCAAGGGATAACCATTCATGTGCAAGCACACTTCTTCATATATCAGAAGTATGTTTGCACACAAAAGCTTATACCCTGAATTAAACTTTGCTGGTCTTAAAGGTGCCACTGGACTCAAACTTTGTTCTCCGTATTACAACATTAACTTCTTCGGTTTGCAACAATACTATAGCAAGAACCCCAAAAGTTGAAATAACATATTCTGTACCAACAAGATAAAACGTTCCTAGCCCTTTTGTGTACAAATCACAATGACAAAGGCTAGATACTTGCTTTAGAAATAAAAGAAACTTGACAATTCAGAGATCATGACAATGGGCAGTTATAATGTTACTGTGCATTATTTATTCATTTGTATTTATTAAAATATTCCAGCCCCATCTTTCCTATGGCTCAAGACATCTTACCAATTCAAATTTAAAAGCATACAGACTAGAATGAAACCATGTATACCAATCCCACAGATTCCTGCAGCCTATGCCCTACCAAATAGAATCGCCTTGAATTGCCTCCTTAAAACCTCTATAGACTGCACCCTCCTTACTTCTTTATGGAGCCTGTTATATAAGCTATGGTGGAAAATGCACATGCTAACCTTGAGCAAGGTAATGAACAAGGCGCAGGGCTATTTTTGGGCAGGAACGCACAGGAACGGAGTTTCGCCTGGCTCCTGATCTGGCCATGCCCAGCAGGAACTCATTAGCATAACAGGCCACACCCAACAGCAGAAACTCTTTAGGACTGGCCTAACATGCAAAGAAGTTCCTGCTACAAAAAAAGCCCAGGGTTTTGACAACAAAGTAAACAGAATAAGAAGCAAAAGGTGGGTGTGGCTGGATGACCACACTTCTGGCAACATGGGGGCATGGCCTAATATGCTAATGAGATGTGCTGTCAGGGGTGTGGCCTAATAGGCTAATGAGTTTTCTGCTGTTGGCTGTGGCCTGTTGTGCTAATGAGACCTGCTGAGCTTTTTCTACCAAAAAAGCCCGGAACAAGGGTCATTTCCTGCAGGAGTGCACAGGAGCGGAGCTCCAGCAGTAAGGAGCCCAGGGGGTGGGCACATGCAACAAGCCCCACCCCCTGCTCCCAGCAGCTCTCACCCAGAGCAAGAAGCAGGCAGATAAGTTGCAGAGCCCCCCCCCCCGGTCCAAAACTGTCCAGTGGCACCTTTAAGACCAAGTTTTATTCAGGCACAAGCTCTCTCTCCTCTGCGAGGACAGATCTGCACGCCCCCCCCCAATAGTTAGCAATCCAAAACAGTCCAGTGGAGCCTGAGCTGTGGGAGTTGCCTTCTGACACACTTCCGGTGATGTCAGGGGGTGTGGCATATGCAAATAAGTTATGCTAATGAGTTGTGCTAATGAGCTCCTGCACCTCTTTTTCTTTGAAATTACCCCTGGTAATGACTAGCAAGTGGCAGCCTTAGGACTGCACTTTACACACAGGTATGCAAAGTAAGAAGTGGTGTTTTCAGTATGTGGGTCATAGGCCTTAAATGGCTTTAAAGGTCATAAATGAAACCTTTAATTGAACTTAGAAACTAACAGCAAAGGTAGCTGCTTTAAAACGGGGGTGGGGGGGCCACTGGACTCAAATTTCTTCCTGTTGCTTCAGATCAGCAAGGCTACCTAACAATACTCATGATGCTGCATTCTGAACCAGCCGCACTCACTGGGTTTTCTTCAGCGGCAGTCCAACATAACTCACATTATTATTTATTACTTCGATTTCTGTCCCGCCCGCCTTGCACGTGGGTTACAAAGTCGCATAAAGATTGTGGCCACAATAACAATAAGTAGAAGTGTAACAATAAAATCAATATTAAAATCAACTGTGCAGCGAACGAGAGCGCGCTTGCCTTGGTAACAGAGCTCAGATGGAAGTGTTTCAGAGTGGCGCACTGGACAATTCACTAGGGCCTCAGCCACACGGGCAGAAAAATGCGGGGGGGGGGAGGCGTGGCTGTTTGCCCCAGAGCAAACTAACATGTGACTGCGCGATCAGGCTTCAGGTTGAGGTCCCATCAAGCTCCCGCGGTTAGGGGGGAGGTGCAGATCACACACGCGGCAAAGAAGTGGAGCGGCGCGGCATACGGGGTTGTGTTTTGTTTTTAAAACTTAAATGTGCGCATGCTCCGTTGGGTGCTTGTGCGCATCCATGGAGACTTGGGGAAAAACATGTTTTTGCGAGGGGACATGGGCGGGCGCTGGAACTACCACTGGAAACGCGATCAGACGCCCGCCCTTGCCCCACGGTTTCTGGAAACTAGTACCTCTGAGGTACGAGTCTTTTATCCCGCATCTTCGGCGGGAAGCCTCGGGTGCGCCATGGGAGCTCTACGCTTCCCAGATGTGGCGGTGAGATTGCGCCCGGAAAATCCACCTATCTTCTGTCTCTCTAGCGTGCCTAATGCTCCGTGTGACCGGGGCCTAGATTAAGAAAATCAGCACTGTCAGCAAGGGAAGCCAAGATGGATTTGGCCATCCAAAGCCTCAAGCGAAAGCCCGGCAGAACAGCTCCATTTTACAGGCCCCGCGGAATTGTAACAGATCCCACAGAGCCCTGATCTCAAGTGGAAAAAAGATAAAAGATGTTGATCGCTGACCCGTAGGGCTCTGCGAGACACATAAGGGGAGAGGTGGTCCCAAAGATATATGGGGTCCTGGCCGCTTAGGGCTTTGAAGGTTAGCCCCAAAACCTTGAACCGGACCCGGTACTCTATTGGCAGCCAGTGCAGTTGGCACAGCACGGGTTGAATGCGCACCCACACAGACGTCTCTGTCAACACCCATGCCGCTGTGTTCTGCACTAGCTGCAGTTTCTGGGTCAAGTACAAGGGTAGCCCCATGTAGACTGAGTTACTATAATCCCATCTGGTAGTGACCATTGCCAGGGGTAGAGCAGGTAGAGAAAGAGGTACTTTTCTCCCTTTCTCACAATACAAGAACTCGTGGGCACTCCATGAAATTGCTCAGCGGTCGGGTTAGAATGGATAAAAGGAAGTCGTTCTTCACCCAAAGAGTGATTAACACATGGAATTCACTGCCACAGGAAGTGGTGGCGGCTACAAGCATGGACGGCTTCAAGAGGGAATTGGATGAGCATATGGAGCAGAGGTCCATCAGTGGCTATCAGCCACAAGGTATGGATAGGAGCTCTGGGGCAAATGATGCTCTGTCTTCTTGGTGCTGGGGGGGGTCAACAGTGGGAGGGCTTCTAATGTCCTGGCCCCACTGGTGGACCTCCTGATGGCCCCTGGTATTTCTGGCCACTGTGTGATTCAGAGTGTTGGACTGGATGGGCCTTTGGCCTGATCCAACATTGACTTCTCTTATGTTCTTATAGCTGGGGCAAGGGATGCTCTGTCTTCTTGGTGCTGGGGCGGGGGACAACAGTGGGAGGGCTTCTAGTGTCCTGGCCCCACTGCTGGACCCCCTTATGGCACCTGGTATTTCTGGCCACTGTGTGACAGAGTGTTGGACTGGATGGGCCTTTGGCCTGATCCAACATTGGCATCTCTTATGTTCTTATGTTCTTATTGCCTGGGTCACTGTAGCCAAATCCTGAGAAGTGCAATAGGAAGCCAGTTGCTTGACCCGCTGGAGGTGATAAAAGGATGATCAAGCAATGGTGGTAACCTGGGCCTCCATAGAAAGTGAGGCATCCAGGACCACCCCTAAGCTCTTCACCCCCGGCAATGGCACCAACTGTGTCCTGTCGAGAGTTGGGATTCCCAGTCCCAGATTCCCACGGCCTAGGTATAGGACCTCCGTCTTTGTTGGATTCAGTTTCAGTCAACTCCATTGAAACCATCCAGAACAATGCCCTGTTCAATACCTCCAAAGTGGAGTCTGTCCACAGGAAGTGGTGGCGGCTACAAGCATGGACGGCTTCAAAAGGGAATGAGATAAGCATATGGAGCAGAGGTCCATCAGTGGCTGTTAGCCACAAGGTATAGATAGGGGCTCTGGGGCAAGTGATGCTCTGTCTTCTTGGTGCTTGGGGAGGGGTCAACAGTGGGAGCGCTTCTAATGTCCTGGCCCCACTGGTGCACCTCCTGATGGCACTGGTATTTCTGGCCACTGTGTGATACAGAGTGTTGGACTGGATGGGCCTTTGGCCTGATCCAACATTGGCATCTCTTATGTTCTTATGTCCATGTGTCTATCAACAGATAAGAGCTGGGTATCACCACCATATTGATGACGACCCAGCCCATACCTCTGGGCCAACTGGGTGAGGGGGCGCATATAGACGTTAAACAGCACCAGGGAGAGGATAGCCCCTTGTGGCACACCACATATTAGTGGATGTCGCTGGGACAACTCCTCCCCAATTACCACCCTCTGTCCCCAACCATAAAGGTGTTGGAAATGTATGGGTTGCAAGGTCTCAGATTCCAGCCATTATAGGGTTAACTTGTTTACCTTTCTATGCTATTGTTTAGACTGACCTGGAAGGGAAACCTGGCTCAGAGCCAATGGGAAAATAGCCCGGGAAAATCTTAGTCTGTTTACTAAACCATTGGTTACTGGTTTCAGGTGACTTCCTTTCTAAGGGTCAAGAAGAAGGAGATTCTCCATTGTTGTGTACTCTTTGTTGTGAGCATGCTTTCCGAGAAATAGGATAAGACAATGTAGCTCTAAGATATGTTTCTTTGTAGGTTTCCTGTGTACCTTTTACCCGTAGAAATAAAGCCTTTTAAACAGAAAGAAATGTCTCCTCTCCAGTGAAGCAAAGATCCATTGAAAACTCTGAGTAATTAAGCATTTTTTACTATTTTTTACCCACAAAAGGAAGGAGGGGAGCCATTGTAAGGCAGTCCCCCATATTCCAACATCAGCAAGGCAGCGGGCCAAGAGATCATGGTTGACCATGTCCAAACGCTGCTGTTAAGTCAAGAAGAAAGAGCAGCGCCAACCTGCCTGGATCTATGTGTCTCCAAAGGTCATCCATGAGGGTGACCAGTGCAGTCTCCGTCTTAGGGTGAAAGCCAGACTGGAAGGGTCTGGATAGTAGCACCATCCAGGAAAACGTTACAGTAAGCCAACAGTGGGGTTACAAAAACATGGATTACCATGGCCAGAGTGGCTGATTGTAAGAAAGGTGAACCAGATGCAGCTCACAGAAGGCCACCACATGAACTTGATTTTCCCCACAGCAAGACTGGATCCACCCATGGTCTCAACCTGCTCTGCAAATGCCAACTCCATCCACCACAAGTGGATCCAGTTCTTCTAAAACATCAACCTTCCCCACTGGCATGTCACCTGGATGTGCCTGGATTCAATTTCAGCTAATCCTGCCATAAGCACTTAACCATGACCCAAAAACACTGGTTCAGGGTCAAGACGGCTACATCTGGAGGCTCAGAAACTGAAATATAAAGCCGGATGTCATCTGCATACTGATGACCTGCAACACTAAAAGTACAGAGGATCTCTTATGTAAATGCTGAAGAGCATGGGTGAGAGGACAGAAGCCTGAAAGACTCCACAGAACAAATCCCAACCCACAGAGTCTGCTTTTCCAGTGAACATAAGAACATAAGAGACGCCAGTGTTGGATCAGGCCAAAGGGCCATCCAGTCCAACACTCTGTGTCACATAGTGGCCAGAAATACCAGGTGCCATCAGGAGGTCCACTAGTGGGGCCAGGACATTAGAAGCCCTCCCACTGTTGACCCCCCCCCAAGCACCAAGAAGACAGAGCATCACTTGCCCCAGAGCCCCTATCTATACCTTGTGGCTAATAAGAATCTCATTCCTTTCCAGTTGAGCTCAATGCATAGACATTCTCCATCCACTCACAGCTGTTGTTTGTATCACAGGCAATGGGAGGGAATTTTGAGCACTGCCGCAAGGGGAAAATAGCTCTCTGCAGGTAGTAAGCTAGCTCATCAAGGGAAAAGGCTATGTTGTTGCTCAGTCACACAGTCGAGTCTGACTCTTTGCGACCCCATGGACCACATCAGGCCAGGCCCTCCTGTCTTCCGCTGTCCCCTGTAGTTTGCTTAATTTCATGTTTGTTGCATTGATAACCCTGTCTAACCATGTCATCCTTTGCCGTCCCCTTCCCTTCTTCTTTGACCTTCAGTCTTTCCCAGCATCAGAGTCTTCTCCATGCTAGTATACTAAATGGAGTAGGCTTATTTTTGTTTATATATTTTGTATATTCAATTCCTTTATACCCAGCCTTTCTCATAAGAACATAAGAGACACCAATGTTGGATCAGGCCAAAGGCCCATCCAGTCCAACACTCTGTCACACAGTGGCCAGAAATACCAGGTGCCATCAGGAGGTCCACCAGTGGGGCCAGGACATTAGAAGCCCCCCCACTGTTGACCCCCCCCAAGCACCAAGAAGACAGAGCATCACTTGCCCCAGAGCCCCTATCTATACCTTGTGGCTAATAGCCACTGATGGACCTCTGCTCCATATGCTTATCTAATTCCCTTTTGAAGCCGTTCATGCTTGTAGCCGCCGCCACTTCCTGTGGCAGTGAATTCCATGTGTTATTCACTCTTTGGGTGAAGAAGTACTTCCTTTTATCCGTTCTAACCCGACTGCTCAGCAATTTCATTGAGTGCCCATGAGTTCTTGTATGGTGAGAAAGGGAGAAAAGTACCTGTTTCTCTACCTGCTCTATCCCATGCATAATCTTATAAACCTCAATCATGTCTCCCCTCAGTCACCGTTTCTCCAAGCTAAAGAGCCCTAAATGCTTTAACCTTTCCTCATAGGGAAAGTGTTCCAATCCTCTTTGTATCCAATTGGACAGAAAATTGGACAGAAAAGATCAAAATCACCGATTACCTACTGTCTTAACATCAGCACTGGATTCCAACTGATGGACAAATGGAATGGTCAACTTATCAAACATCACCAGTACATTTAACAATATTAATGAAGATATCTGTCTCCTCCCTACGTTTAAACAAGGGTGGTCCATTAGTGCAACAAAAGCTGCCTTGGTTCTGAACCCATACCTAAATCTGGATTGAAATAAATCAAGAGCAGATGTGTCATCCAAGCATCCAACAGCTGTTCTGCCACCACATGATCTATTCCCTTCCCAGAAAAGGTAAATTAGGGACTTGCCTAAAACTGTCCACTTCATCTTTAATCAATGAAGGTTTTTAAAGGAAAGGTCTAATAACAGTTTCCTTCAAAGGTTTATGTAGAGCACCCCTCCTGGTTAGCAAGGCATTAATGATTTTAACCAAGGCTCCAATAACTTCTCTCAGCTTGCTTTCAAAAGCCAGGATGGGCACAGATCAAGAGCAGAAGCGGCTCCTGTCACGTTCCCAAGAGTCCCGTCAGTATCCTTTGACCAGGTCAAATGGAATCTATACATTAAAAAAACATACCAGCAGGTGTATCTGACAAGTCAGGTACGAGATCAACTTGGTCTCCAAGCTGGAACAGGTGAGTGATTTCATCACCAGAAATGTTAATGTGCTCCTAATTAGGCACCAAATTAACATAATTAACAGGGTTGGACTTGGGATGTTATTGTCACAAACCAAGATTCGGCTTACACAATAGTGGCAGAGGGGGAAAAAATATTTTCCAGCACCTCATAGGCCTGCAGATGGACTGTATGGCATGCTCTCACTCATTCGTCTGGAGTTGTCACGACTCAGGTTGGGTTTCACCTGGCGCTGCCACCACTCTGGATTTAGGTTCCCTTGAGAAGGCCCAGAGTACCCTCCCAAGACCTTCAGACTTCCCTTTTGGCTAAATAATAGGTGTGAGGACCAGGCAGAGCAAAACAAGGAAACTGCCAATTCCAGCTGGCTATCTCACATCGAAGCCAAAATATGCTCCTTGAATTTACCCTCGGAATCTCTATCCTTGCTTTCTGAGCTTGAGGCTTTTAAAAAAATAAAAGCTAGTTTATTGGGCTCAGAGTTGCAAACTCTTTATAGCTTCGCCAACAGAACCTGTTCTCCCCTAAATTTAGGGATTGTTCCAAATGCAAATCTTCCAGCTGTATATCTTTATTAACTTATCGCTCCAAATGTGCGCAGAGCCATCTCCTCGGCCAGATTTAATGTCCTTCCTTCTGCTCTTATCTCTGGCAGATTCCAGGGGATCCCCTACTCCAGCAGGTGCTGTCCTTGTAAGAAGGACTGTGTTGAAACTGTCCCCCATGTTCTCCTTCAATGTCCCTTTTATCTGGTGCCCCGCCAGGATCTTCTGTATCCTATATTAGCTCAATTCTCAGAGATTCCTGACAATTTTAAGCTTCTATTTTTGCTTGATAATCAAGATACAGAAATAACCGAAATAGTAGCAAGGTTTCTTCTTAGTGCTATGGCTATACGTTCTGATAAGTAACCATTAGGTTTTTCTGCTTTCATGCTGTTTTTCTGCGCCGTAGCTCCAATTTTACCCTATATGGATTTGTATTTTCAGATCTATATTTAATCTGATCTCCTATTGTATGTGTATACATATGCCAATAAAGGTTTCCATTTTTTCTTTATTTTGTCCTGTTCAGTTAATGTATTTCTGTGCTGATCTCTCAGCATTCCTAACAGTGCTTTAAATTTCCCTTTGATTTTTTTTTTTTGATCTTGCGGAACAGATCTCTTGTTCTTCCTTTTTTGTTACTTTCTTCTATGTCTTTACAGTGGTTATTATAACAGTTCTCCCGCTCTTTATGTGCAAGTTGCTGGAACACTGCATTTAGATTTCTGGTTTTATTTCTTGTTACCTTTTACTTTTGCTTCCCATCCGACTTTAGCAATTCAAAGAGCTTCTAGCAGCATTATAAAGGTCAGAAAGCCGCAAGTGGCTGACTGAAGAAAGAACAGGGTGTGAGAAACCAACACCCCCCCCTTTGGTAAATGAAGTCTTCTCAAGGTCCACCAGGAAAAAGGGGGAAGCTGTAGGGTGCTACGTACCTAGATTCTGTCCCTGCGAAAAAGGAATCAGACAGCTTCCTTGCAAGTTTCCCCTTGATCCCCTTCAGAAGACAGTAACCTGAGATCTCCTTTGTGGATTGTCAAGTTTATGTAGAAAACACTAACAACCAGTTATGTCACAGTGCCAAATGACTAAGCTAGTAAACGCAGAGCAACTTCAGGTTCCGGTTTTCACCAGACAGATAAATCTAAAAGTGACAGCAACATTCAGATTGCTCCTTGTACCTTCAGGGAGAACAAAGATTATCTTTCATTTAAGCCATTTTTTTTTACTCTTCCCAAGAACTTACCCCGTTCTTTTCCTACAGCTTTCAGGAATGGGGTCACCGGCCGATCAGCAAAGTCTTCTAGGTGGTCTATCAGTCCTTCTTTCACTGCTTCATATCCAGACAGGACAACTATAGGTTTGGGTCCCAGCCACAGCATGTAAATGTTTCCATATTGTTTGGCCAGCTGCCATTTGCATCGAAAGAGACAAAAGAAAAACGTAAATTAATTCCGCTGGCTTGTTTGACTGTACCATGTGCTGTTCACTCTTCTTTACCTCTTCAGCCCCTGGCCGTGTGACCTTCTCTTCTCTGCAGATTTCCTTTCTATCGGGTTTCTCCCTTTCCCCACGTTGTCTCTGTTTCTAGCAGCATGACTTTATTGGTTCCTCTGACTTGTCAACCCGCCCAGCTGTCGATATCAAACCCTAGACAAATCTGTTATACTAAAGCATGATTCATTAATTTATTTCCCCCACCTGGATTGTATCTTTCCAACAACCCCATCAAGTTGATCAGACTGAGAGTGACTGGGCCGAGATCACCCAGTGAGCTTCCTGGCAGGCTGAGGATTGGAATGTCCCAAATCCTGCCCATGTGAAGATGCCACAGGGGATTAGAAAGGGACATACCAGGTCTCCAAGCTCTTTGCAGATAACAGGAAGTGTTTCTGTACTGGCATCATCAGCGTTAGAGCTGGCTGCCAAAGCAGAGTGTAAAACATGGGAGGCTGTTGATTTATTTATTTATTTATTATTGCACTTATATCCCGCCCTCCCCGCGAACGGGCTAGGGGCGGCTTACAAATAAGGGCAACATGTGCCAAAGAAAACATTAAAAACAACATAAAATAAACCATATTTAACAATAATAAAGTGCTCAATGATGTTACCTATTTAGCCTGTGTTCCCATGTTGAGTTAACTTTCAACAAGTGCTGTAGTATGAAGAAGAGACTCAACACTGTAATGGTAGCAGGCTACCCTTTCCATATCTCCATGTGAGGTAGGGTTGCCAAACCTCCCCCCCCCCCCCCGTTCGCCAGGGGTTCCCCGCCCCCGATACCCACAGCCACCCCTGTCCCTTCTCTCTTTAAGTGCATGGACGTTTCCTCCCAAGCCCAATCTCCGCTTGAGATCAGGCTTGCAGGGAAATTTCAGCTCCGTGCACTTAAAAGGGAAATGCCGGCTCTTTGCTCTTAAAGGGGAAACGCCGGCTCCGTGCACTTAAAAGGGAAACGCCGGCTTCTTTAAGTGCAGGGAACTGGCCTTTCTGGAGATCGGGCGGGCGGGGCGGCGGACGTCCCCAACGTGACGTCATCCCGTCGGGGATGCCCCGCCCCCTCCAGGAATGCTCCCAAAGTCCCCCGCTGGGGGCAGAAGATGGACTTGGCAACCCTAATGTGAGTAATGTTCTCACATACTCTGCTGAGGTCCACTGTTTCCTCAAACCCCATCCTCCCCAGGCTCCATTCCCAAATCTCTAGGAATTTTACCAACCTAGAGATGGCAACCCTCCAAGACCACCAGGATGCATCCCCAAAGAGCTGTTTACTGTTCCAGTAGGAATGAAAACTAAGAATCTCATGCTGCTTATACCTTTCCTTATTCCTCGTTTGATCTTGTTTTCTAAAAGTGACTGAAGGAAGCACTCACTGCCGGAGGATGATACATCCACACTGTATGATTAAACTTAAAGGAGCTCCTAGCCTACAAAGGCTGGAATTTTTCAGAGACAAAGGTGTCACTTTCCATCTACATGAGAGAAAATTGTCCAGTTTTGTTGTTGTTCAGTCGCACAGTCGAGTCTGACTCTTCGCGACCCCGTGGACCAGATCACGCCAGGCCTTCCGGTCTTCCGCCGTCCTCTGAAGTTTGCTCAACTTCATGTTCGTTGCATCTATGACACTGTCTAACCATCTCATCCTTTGCCGTCCCCGTCTTCTTTGACCTTCAATCTTTCCCAGCATCAGGGTCTTCTCCAGGTCTCCGCAAAGCTTTATATGACTAAGCAAGAACACACCGGTTCAGATACACTGTGCCTCTTCTCTTAGAACTCAAGCATTGCTGCCTAGGCAACGAGATCTGGCTGATGGGTATACATGTTGCAAGAGTTCACAATTGTGCGGCAGATCTGTTGATTAGTAGGAATGCATGCCCCTGTTTTGATCTTCTCTGAGTTCTTGTTTTCCAAAACGCTGACTTTGAATGAGTCATCTGCAATAGTATAATGTTAGTGAAATGCTTGTTCCTATATTTTAAACTGTCTTGTTCAGAAATCCCAGACATTTAGCTGATTAAAAAATGGAATTCATTGCCACAGGAGGTGGCGGCAGCTACAAGCATGGAAAGCTTCTAGAGAGAATTAGATAGGCATATGGACCAGAGATCCATCAGTGGCTATTAGCCACAAGGTATAGATAGGAACTCTCGGTCTGGGGCAAGTGATGCTCTGTATTCTTGGTGCCTGGGGGGGCAACAGTGGGGCGGCTTCCAGTGTCCTGGCCCCACTGCTGGACCTCCTGATGGCACCTGGTATTTTTGGCCACTGTGTGACAGAGTGTTGGACTGGATGGGCCATTGGCCTGATCCAACATTGGCTTCTCTTAAGTTCTTATAGTTGGGGCAAGTGATGCTCTGTAGTCTTCGTGCTGGGGGGGGGGCAACAGTGGGAGGGCTTCTGGTGTCCTGGCCCCACTGCTGGACCTCCTGATTGCACCTGGTATTTTTGGCCACTGTGTGACGGACTGGATGGACCATTGGCCTGATCCAACATTGGCTTCCCTTATGTTCTTATGTTCACCCTTTAAGAGATATGGGGAAATCCTCTCTCCTTTCCAGCATTGTGAAGGAGCTGGCATTATTTTGTATTCTTTTGGTTTTCCTACTTATGACAAACTAGAAGAGGGACTGTTAAATGGGGCCCAAATGGGGTTCAAAATGATCCTTCCTCTTCTTTCTCTGTGACTGATGCCGGTCGATGTCAAAGAGATTTAATAGATAAATGGTACCCATTATTAAGTATTAAATGGTACCTATTATTAAGTATTAAATGGTACCCATTATTAAGGACTGACTTACCTGATCATTTTAGAATAGCTACCTCCACTTTTCTCCGTCCACTTCCTCCTCCTTCTAATTACCTTGTTTTGTGTAATATAGGTATGTTTTTCTATTATATAGAACAGTGTCGAAATTGTACTCCTCCTATTAATATTGTGTATTTTTCCTAAAAAATATCCACTAAATAATTATAAGGTTTTACATATTGTGATCTCTTGGGGGGGGGGTTCCTTCCTCTTCGCTCTCTACGACAGATGCCTGTCAATGCTTTGGAGATCAAATTTCTCCTTCTCGCTGAAAATGAATGTTTCCATGCCATTCATCTCTTTTTCATTTTTTAAGAAACCAACTCATTTGTTTTCAGTTCCAGATGAATCACAAGCAGAAGCTATTTTATGCAGCAGAGTCTCTTTAGAACAATCTGGCCATTACACAATAGTTAAGTTCATATTCTGTGATTTCCTAAAGTTTCACAGTTACGATCTATAACCAGCTCTGATTCATTTGGGACTGTATTATGCACTTGCAGTATTCGGCTTTAGCCATTTCTTCCCTACGTGTGGCAGCAATAGTTTTCTGTCCACCCATTGAGGGTCATTCACTGTTCTTTGACTATGCAGAAAAGTTTTGTTTCCAATAGCTTCGAAGGGCAGGTGCTGTCCTGTCAGATTGACAAAACCAGCTTGAATGTAGGGCTAAATCACATTGATACTTGTTCTTCTTTTCTTTTCTTTTTATACAAGGCATATATAAATGTTGAATGATCTGGTATATCTGGTGTCGCTAAGCACACAAACTAATGTTAGATTTCACTTTTCTCCTTAACATGGTTACTGACTTCCATTTAGCTAAGGATGTGCTACCCTCTTCTCTATTTTTACTGAACTGACGGATATCAGAGGAGTTTCATAGTGGACTAGCATTTGACCTCCGATGTGCAATGACTTCAAGAAGGTCAAAAATCATTGTCTTTGCTACTCCAGTCCTGCAAAGAGAATGACTGTGTCCTTCAAATGCTGAAATGATATATGTTATTAAAGCTTGATGTGAACTTATCAAGTTGGCAGTACTGTAACTTTGGGGTGGCTAATTCTGCCACATTCTCCAGGCATGTTCCTATTACATATCTGTGCAAAACCTAGTAAGGAAATGATTGAAAATGGTTCTCACTTTAATTATTTAATTAACTACACGGATTAATTATGTGGAATGACCTACCTTGATTAAAGTATCTTTGTAAAGCTTGACCCCAAATCGCCAAACACTTCCAATGATGGGTAGCCGAAGGGGCCCTGGAGGGTAGGACCTGTTTGACCAGAGTTGTCTCAGAAAGCGTAGAACCAAGAGACACGCCAGCAGGACAGTCAACACTCCCAACATTATCCTTCTTTCTTCTTCTATGTCTTGATATCTTTCACGTGGATGGGCTGGATGTTCTTCCTCTAGTGGCTGTTTTTTCCTTACAGACTGTTGCCTCTTGTCCCAGTTCTCTACGGACATCCTTTTATGTACTCTGTAGTTAATGGTACATACACAGGAAGTCTCCTGGCACCAACTAGTTTTGGGAGGCGGTCATCCCAAATTATCATGATGTTTAATTGTGATATGATTACTCAATTATTTCTGGGGAAGAAAGTTTAATGTCAAGTTCTATATAATCTATTGGTTGCAAGTAGGCAACTGCTATCTCAGGCTTAGAAGGAGCCAAATCTATTGTTCATGGATGACTGGATGGTAAAGGTATGGTACGTGGTTACAGTTCACAAGAACATTCATGAAGGGAATACTAAGACCCAGGAGTTGTTATTGGAAATATAGCTCCCATTTATAGTATACTGGAATAGACTTTAGCCAAAGGACTGAGTCAAAGAAAGTATATTAAGGTTTATTTGGACAAAAGATAGATAATAGACTGTAACAGTTGTACAAAGTTGAATATATTATTATATTATTAGTTGCAGCTTAGGTAAGAGGCTTGGGTTCTTTGTTTTGCTATTTTTTTTCTTTATTGGGTAAATTGAATTGGAGGTATGTTATATGATATATGATGGATGGCCTTTGGGGCCCTTTCTTACATGCCCAGAGAAATGCTGATCACCACTTTGGGGTCAGGAAGCAATTTTTCTCCAGGCCACTTTGGCTAGGGATCCTCGAGGTGGGGTTTTTGCCACCTTTTGGGCATGGAGCAAAGGTCACTGGGTGTGTGGAGAGGGAGGAATTTGTGAATTCCTTGCATTGTGCAAGGGATTGGACTAGATGACCCTGGAGGATCCTTCCAACTCTATGATTCTATGGATACTTTCCTGTGTTATGCATTGCTTATCCTATGAATATTAATTAGTATCTATTTTTGTATAATTTTGTGTTGATGTAAGAAAATTATAATCATTTTTAAAAGTTCTATGAAATGCAACCCAGAGCTGTAAAGCACCAATTTTGTTCCATGTGTTTTCTGAAAGATTAGATTACCATGCCTTTTCTAGCTCTGCTTTCCCTCCTAACACTCTCAGATATCTATGGAAAGTCCAGACAGTGTCTCAGATATCCTTGCTTTCCTCAGCTTCTACACTAATTGGGGTCTCTGTTTCCCCCCTGATAAAACCATGTTCCAAATTGATGGGCAAGGCCGTGGCAGCAACGTGCATGTTGACATTTTCAGTGAGCGAATGGATCTGTAAGGTTGGTGGCTGCTCCTTTATTTCTGTTCCATTTTACAGGCTACCCTGGAGTTTGTGATCATGCACAGTTTTAGAGGAGGAGAAGAGTGATTAGCACTCTGAAAAGTATGCATACGGAGAGTGATTTCAGCTAAGCATACCTTTATTTAGTCAGGAACAAAGACAAGTTAGTCGGCTCGCAGGCCGGCTTATATTCCCTCAGAGAAACCCACCACCAAACACCCCCCCACTCCCGATAGGTTATTTACAGTAACCAAGAGACCTATTGGCCTCTTGGCCTGGGACCTAGCCCTTTCATTGGGCCTGGCTAGGATCCTACTTGCCCATTGTCTTTTAGCATGAAGGTTGAGGAGTTTGTGCCTGGACAAGTCCAGGCATGCCCGGCCCTGTCGGGGCCTGATACACTACACACATGGAATTCACTGCCACAGGAGGTGGTGGCGGCTACAAGCATGGACAGCTTCAAGAGGGAATTAAATAAGCATATGGAGCAGAGGTCCATCGGTGGCTATTAGCCACAAGGTATAGATAGGGACTGCGGGGCAAGTGATGCTCTGTGTTCTTGGTGCTGGGGGGGGGGCAACAGCAGGAGGGCGTCTAGTGTCCTGGCCCCACTGCCGGACCTCCTGATGGCACCTGGTATTTTTGGCCACTGTGTGACAGAGTGTTGGACTGGAGGGGTCATTGGCCTGATCCAACATTGGCTTCTCTTAGGTTCTTAAGAGCAAAATTCAAATATGTGCTCATAGATTTTCTGGGAAAGTGGGAGCTAAGGTCTTTTGCTTGTCTGAACTGCATAGAGGATGGTTTGCTCTTCCATGCCCTGGTCTAGTTGTAGTAGTGCACGTTGTCAGAACAGGTCAAACTTATCGTCAATGGCCGGTAAAATGCAAATCATAGGCTGAGTTCAGACTGGCAGTTTGGCCCAACAGCCAAACGTTTCAGGAGCGTTTCAGTAGTGGATTAAAGGGGCGGGTTCACACAGGCACATCTCTCAGGCGTCCCCCAGCCGTACTCAAGCCATCTTGTGCTGCTTCCCTCCTGAGTTTAAAAAGTACCAGATGAAAGTGGTAGCAAACCATGTGTAGAGCGGGTTGATCCCAGTTCCCTGAGTGTGAACGCAAGCGCTGCTAAGGTGGGAACAACCCTCAGTCATTGATAAGAGGCACCGTCTGTTTCCCCAGCAGGCACCCATGCGCCTATGAACACATAGGCGCATGCAGCGGAGCGCAGAAACAGCTGCTAACAGCCCTCCAGGGGCGGGTCAACAGTGCGAACACTCCCTTGCGCTTCCTCCACGGTATCCTCCCGCTTCATTTGCTGCAGTGTGAAGCCATTCCGGGTCTGTTCCGGGTCTTATTTGCCACGACTCCCTAGCACTTCAAATTGCCAGTCTGAACTCAGCCATATACCAGGACTATCAGATCCATCCTCTTGACAGATTCTAGGGTAATATCAACTTGTTGTCCCTGACTGGTCTGGAAAGAGTACATGGAAGGTTCTTCCTGCCAAGATTATTATAATAATAATTATTATTGGAAGAAGAGATTGGATTTATACCCCCCTTCACCACCCAAAGGAGTCTCAGAGTGGCTTACAAACTCCTTTCCCTTCCCCTCCCCACAACAGACACCCTGTGAGGTAGGTGGGGCTGGGAGAGCTCTGACAGAAACGGCTCTTTTTCAAGGACAGCTCTTATCAGAACTATGGCTTGCCCAAGGTCATCCAGCCAGGTGCAAGTGGAGGAGTGTGGAATCAAACACGGTTATTATTATTTTAATTGATATCACAAAGACTTTACAATTCATATAACACAGTACAACTGTACAAACGGGAAACATTTCAAGATGCAAACAACATCTGAAATCAATAGAGAAGATATAGTGAAGAACAGGATCTTACAAAGTGTTAAACAGCACAGTAGTAGGTAAGGTCATTAATCAGGCCAGAATATGAAGTTCCGTCAAGCTGTCAACCCTATGAAATGCAAGTAAATAGATTTCAGAAACTCCAGTGACTCGAATGACTCAGCTCTGCACCAGCTCAAGAAGAAAAGAAGAGATGGGGAAGAAGAAAAAATGCAGAGAGAGAAGTCAAAGAGAAAGTCGATGTTGAGATGTCGGGTTTGGAGGTGAGAGGTCATGTGCGAAGATGTAACTGAGAAAGGGGAACCATTTTCCGACAAATGAGATTTTTCTGAGGTAGATATCCAATTGGAGTCGTTTCGTAATTTTTTCCATTATCAGATGTTCCCATATCGCCGTGTACCAAGTAGATTGTGTGGGTACTGATTGAGACTTCCAGTGTAATGCAATCACCATCTTTGCAGCTGCCAGCAGGGTGTGGGTGAGTTCCCATCTGATTTTGGGAACTGAGGAATGATTGTCAGGATTATTTGTACACACTGTAAAAATCCAGTTGGAAAGTGAACTGAAAGTGGATTGAAAGAGGATTATTTAGCGTGTGCGACTGCAGCCTTACAAGTTACAAATACACACACAAAAAGGACAGTGTATGGCCTGACGTGTTTTGTCTCACAAGAGCCTTCTTCAGAGGTCAAATAGTGCAAAATACAACAAGCAACAGAGTCTCTGTAACCCGTATAAGGCTATTAACAGTAAATAAAATAGGACCAAAATTGGAATGTTCCAATATGGAATTGAATGACACACCAAAAAGTTTCTATTTGGGGCCACAAATATATCTGGCCTTGTGTCAGAAGTAGTTTATATACTGGAAATAATATATACCTTCCAGTTTAGGTCCTAAAAGTGCAGATAAAATTGCCTTGTCAGGGACAATGAACTTAAATAGTTTAATAGAGGATGATGCAGAGGTCCATCAGTGGCTATTAGCCACAAGGTATAGATAGGCCCTGCCATAGTTTCAGGTCCTTAAAGAGATGGGAGTACCAGACCACCTCACATGTCTCTTGAGAAACCTGTATAAGGGTCAAGAAGCGACAGCTAGAACCAGATATGGAACAACTGATTGGTTTAGCATAGGAAAAGGAGTACGACAAGGATGTATATTGTCACCTTGCTTATTTAATATATATGCAGAGTACATCATGCGAAATGCCGGCCTGGATGAATCACAAGTGGGAATTAAGATTGCTGGGGAGAAGATCAACAAACTCGGATATGCAGACGATACCACTCTAATGGCAGAAAGTGAAGAGGACCTAAAGAGCCTCTTGCTCAGAGTAAAAGAGGAGAGCGCAAAAGTGGGCTTGAAGCTCAACATCAAAAAAACTAAGATCATAGCATGATAAAAAGTAGAGACATCACCCTGCCAACAAAAGTCCGCATGGTCAAAGCAATGGTATTCCCAGTAGTCATGTATGGCTGCGAGAGTTGGACTATAAGGAAGGCCGAGCGCTGAAGAATAGCTTCTTTTGAACTATGGTGCTGGAGAAGACTCTTGAGATTCCCTTGGACTGCAAGAAGATCAAATCAGTCAATCCTAAAAGAAATCAACCCTGACTGTTCCCTGGAAGGCCAGATAATGAAACTGAAGCTCAAATACTTTGGCCACCAAATGAGAAGGGAGAACTCACTGGAGAAGACCCTGATGCTGGGAAAGATTGAAGGTCAAAGAAGATGGGGACGGCAAAGGATGAGATGGTTAAACCATGTCATAGATGCAACGAACATGAAGTTGAGCAAACTTCAGAGGACGGCGGAAGACAGGAGGGTCTGGTGTGATCTGGTCCATGGGGTCGCGAAGAGTCGGACTCGACTGTACGACTGAACAACAATAGATAGGAACTCTCATTTGGGGGCA